CATCAACATAGAATTCAGCTGATTGTCTGTTATCCGTACAGTTTTGTAGTTGTACATTTAGAAAAGCTAAAATAAAATTAAAGTATTATAAACTATTGTGTTATACGATAATTTAAACATGTTTCAGGTTATTTGTATATTAGGAGAGACATTAGAACCGTTTGATGAAGACAAGATTACCCCTGTATTCGGGTTTGGTGATTTCAAATGAAAAGACATATCTATTTTTGAGCTCAGACCAGAGGTAATAGAATCATACCTATAGATATAACTAATAATGTGACATTTATTCAAAACATTTAACATTTATATGTATACAAGATCCATCTTAGATGAATGTCACAGAAATGTATATGCATGTAGTACAAATGACTTATATATTTACATATTCGTAGATATCGGCAACCTTTTTAAGCCATACAACAGTTAATTAACAGAATAAACAGATTAACTCCGTCATATTTAGACGAAACACAACATTTATATAGTATAATTTCTTTCCTCATGTATTTATTCATATTTGTGATAAATGTTACATTCAGAAACTATACAGTTACTAATATATTCTATATGGTTATGTACTAGGCAATTTGTGAAGGTTTCAGTGATGTACTAGATGCCTATACTGAGGTCACACCTACAATTAAGCTAGGTGGGCCAACAAACTTTGTACCGTTGATACTCAAAGCCATTGAGATAGTGAAGGAGACAAATGAGGTAATTTAAAAACCAGTTTATAACAAAGCTATAAAAATAAAATTATAATGACCATTTTCTTATTTTTAACATACTCGTATATTTGATTTAATAGCTTTTACTACTCCAAACTATAGTAGTATTTCAATTCAAGTGTAATGGTGTATCTGTGTACAGGTAATATTTGACGAGCCCAAAACCTGGGGCTTTTCGGATACAGCCGAAAATCCAACTCCGGTACTCATCGTTAATACATTAAATTAGTGAACAGTTTTGGTCCGTGATGTTCACTTAAGATTTATTCGAATGTATGACTATGTTTTTTAAATGAAATAAAAAAAACCCCAAAAACCCGGTATCTTATGTTGTCTATTCTAGTATCACATCCTTGTTATTGTTGCCGACGGTCAAGTTTCATCAGAAAATCCGACCAAAGAAGCCTTAATAGAAGCATCACATTATCCGTTATCTACAATTGTTGTTGGGGTCGGTGATGGACCATGGGGATCAATGAAGACTTTTGATGACGGACTCACGGACCGTCAGTTTGATAATTTTCAATTTGTTAACTTTCACGAGGTGACGAAAGACGCGGAAAATCCCGAAGCTGCTTTCGCACTTCATGCATTGATGGAAATACCAGAACAATATAGATACTTAAAACAGAAAGGCCTTGTTCGTAAGCATATCTACATAGTAACATTTTCACACGCGACTCATTCACTTTGCAATCAATATTGCATGGGACATTAATTCTATTATATATTTGCATATCATGACATGTTTTCATAAGCATCTTAAAAAGTGTTCCTATAGTTATATTGTGCTTGGTGCTTGTCATCATCAGAAAAAGAATGCATTTGACATTTGATAAAAATAATCAGAAATAGAATGCATTGGACATTTGATAAAAATAACAGGGATTTACACTGGACAAGTTTTAAAGATGTTTTCGAAAAGGGGCGCCTATGATTGTATCACACTCAGTTTAGTATAATTATATATATTTACTGCGAAACATGAATTTCTATTCTTTAAGACATAAATCAGATTGTTCCTTTCTTACTCATTGTATCAAATAAAGAAACTCTTTATTTCATGTTACGGAAATCAAAATGTACTATGAAACGCAAAATTTAAATTCATTTCGAAAAAAGAAAAAGAATTCACGCATGAAAAAAGGAAACTTAAAACAACCGAAGAACGTGAATATGTTAATGTTTATTTTATTTTGATCGGCCGGTTAGGCACTAAATTGCTGAAAGCGCCGAGTTTGACACCAGCGGGTTTATTTATTTTATGATTTTTACGTGTCGTATATCGGTTATAAAATAAATGTTCTCTTGTCTTGTTCAGTTTGCTTTAGACTGTAAAAAGTAACAGAAGTTATGTTATAAACTGATAAATAAAACTTTAAAGAAGAGTTTGAGTTGTATTGATTTCAGCGTAGTATAAAGTGCTACACAAATTGTCTAGACGGACTCAGACTTGTATTCCCATTCCGTGATGTATCCAATTTTCAAGTTTATAATATCAGATTTGAAAGAAGATTGGAAACTCTTTTCTTTGATAGAATGTCAAGACTAAAACAAATTTGAAAAGTGTCCCAATGTAGTTTCTATATACATTTTACCATAACTATTTTAATTTAGTAACTACGTGGTGACATAATACTTGGTTATCATAATTAGTTTACACAAGGGTTAATTATGCAATGTTTCCTATATATTCTCATATTCTCCTGTCTTGTCTTGTATTTGTTGATATTATCTTACACAATACAGAATAATGTAAAAATATTCATAAGTATGTCAATATATTTTATGTCGACACATTTCTTTTTTTCATTTACTGAAAAACATATATTTGAGTCTGTGATGATTTATATGCTCAAATTTAGAATAATACAAACATACTTTCGAAACTTTGTGTTGTTTTCTTCCCTGAGTGTTGCTGATATCATCAATCTAAATTACTTTTCGTAAATAAAACAGAAAGGGGAGGTACCAAAAATGCAATGAAGACCCCACAAAGTATTGCAGACTGTGTTATTGAGTATGTGCATCGGAAAAACGGAAAATGCAACATCTTTCACGCCCTAGGTTTACCATCCTCAACACTAAATGTATAAAAATTGATGATCCCGAAGGACAAATATGCAAAACAATGAGTTTAAGCTGCTGCTGTGAGTACAGAAAATTTGGAAAGGGGAAATCCATCGACGGGGATAGAAAAAATCATCGAAAATCAAAAGTCGTTTTTGTTGTTGTATGTCGTTTTGAGCCTCTTCTTGTTTTTGTCGTCTTCGGTAAGTAGCATCCATTTCCCCTCGTTTTTTGCCCCCTGGTACTTCCCCTGAAGCCTTATCCTATTGTATAGTCTTTCGATTAATTGTCTTCTTAAATATCCTTGTCGGTTTCTATGATTTCATATTTATAATACGTACCCGTCCGTGCTTTGCCTTTTGTTTTCATATTCTATTTATTACTGGTAGATTATTAATAGTGCAACATGTTTCACGCCAGAGCAACAGCCGAAGCGATATTCAGTTCTGGACACTTAATGTATAAGGATCAATCATCCCGAATCGTGACAAAAATATACAAATGTTTATTGTAGATAATTGAAAGAAAGTGCAACATCTCTCACGACACTGATCACCGAATTAAGCTGTATACATTATTGAACACTTAAAAGTTTTGGAATCATTGATCCTGAGGGAACAGAAAAATGTACGTACGGGAAAACATTATACAGCTAATACCTAGTTGCAAATATAAAATTTCTTGAAAGGGGAGATTACTCGAGATAAACGAAAACAAAAAGTCCAAATATTAATTGAAAATCGCTCGATTATATTGACTTTGTTCATGAGATCGAAAAGAAAGTGCCACTTCTCTGACGCCCTCCCCCCCTTAGATCTGGCATGACACATGCTGTAGTTTTGTTTGCTGATAATTATATTTAAAATGGTTGGTTTAGAAGATAACTGCTTAAGCTGTTTTGCTATTCATATATTCGATCAAGGACATACACAATTTTTCACTTTAGTCTTTTTGTTACATTAAGATATTCCCCCCTCATTTTCCATTTTTTAAATAAATGTTTTATGTACAATGACTTTAAATATATCTAATAAGATAGCTTCACAACACTTGAAGATATGAATATTTAATGTAAAAACACATACGCTGAATATCAAATAAGTCATAAATTAAAAAATTTAAGTAAACATAAGGAAGTAAGTAAGCAAGCAACAAAGACTGCAAGATGCTTATAACTCGAGTGCTTATAACTCATGCAGAAGTGTTTTTAATCAATGATAATGCGATAATAAAACCTTATAACATATGTAATAAAAATAAGACTTGTTTAGAAGGAGAAGATATGACGAATATATGTCCAGACATTGATCATATAAACAGTATTATAAACAGAAATATTTGTGAACAAAAATAAAAATTCCGTACGATTTAAATCGATATTAACCTGTTAAATGATTTTGAAATAAGATAGATAATCTATATGTTAGTTATAATGCTTCTTTTTCAATGAAAAGAGTTCGTTCTTATTTAAACATAAAGAAAGAGCCATAAGCAATTTTTACAATGAAAGTTTTTTTTTATAAAATTGCATTGCATTTAGATGTAAATGTGTCCCCTTTTACTTACATTATGTCTTCAAATGGACAATTTGTTGAATTTATATTTTAAATATTATACAGTGCAGAGCATGCACATTTGAAAAAAGTTGGATTTGTGATGTATTTGCAAAACAAGTTACTGGTCCAGACCAACATCAAATGAAACACAAATCTTGGAAACATATTGCTAGTTCCGTCATGTCAAAAACATAAGGGGGTCGCTTTTAAGAGAAAATATTCACAAATATTTTCCTCTACACACGTGCACTCTCAAAATGTTGTTATAATTGTATTGCCTATATTATTATCATATATAAACAGCGACCACTAGTGTTCCTAAAAGACTAAAGTCTATTTTAAATTGACATTATCCCAAGCCTGCATTATTTAGCACGAATTCTTAAGCTGTTGTTACGTCATGTCCTTTATTTGAATATTTTTGTTTGTCCCTTTAAACTTTGAATATTGTATTTTTGTTGTTTGAGATTATGATATTCCCAAATTCAAAATTTATTAAGCAAAGCTAATTTAGCTGTTAAGTCATGTAGCAAACATTTGGATAAATCAATACTTGATTTATGTTTTTGACACGATCTTATTCTTTATCAATAAAACGTTTTATATCTAGTAAGCTAAAGTAGTAAGTTGATACGAGTTTTTTGTTATATCGTCCAAAAGAGAAAATAGTTTGTTCCTTGAGGAAAGGAAATCGTTTATAACAAAAGTTGAAATCGATAAAGGAATACACATAGGTAAAGTTTACAATTTATAAATACTAAAACCACTTTGTAAGTAAAATATATTGAGATAAATAATATATCTAAACAATCACCTGTATTGGTTCAAAACGTTTTGCTTCTCCTTTAAGCTTCTTACAAAAAAGTGAACATCTATTTTAATCTAATTAACGGTGGGAAAAAATGATTGTACATAATTTAATTATAGTTACAGGTGTTTAATGTTAAGTATTAGTTGAAATATTTATACCACTTTTACAAAAAAGTCTGATCGGACAAATTAATGAAGAAAAGTACAGATATATAATGCTTAGTTTTAGTTAAAGTATTTATTGCTCTTTGAGGTAAAATACTGCCATGAGTAATAGTCCTAGTAGTGGATATATGACAGCCGATACTGTTAATTCACTGTATGACACTGATGTTGATACCCACCCTGATGTTATATATGATGAGTACAAAAACTTGGAGGAAGTGACCGAAGCAATAAGGAAACAGGGCCTAGAATCATGTCATATGATATTTGGTCTGTATCTTTGATATTTTTTTCTCTCAAAAATTGAATCGCATACTACAGGATATTCATGTTTCTGTTTATATATTATTAAAACAATGTATTCTGTGCTCCTCTTAGTTCGATTCACGGTACTTAACGCTTTGAAGCAAGAAAGAAAACAACACATAAAACTTATGGTACAAACATTGTCATAAGCTGTAACATATAGGTATTTCCTGCTGTATAACACAAGGAAACAACAATATATTTAGTCAAAATTAGTTTAAATTAGCCAGACGTAGACCATATGTCGGTCATTTTGAAAACAGTATGTCATCATTTAAATCGCGGTAATGGTGTTTAATTTCAGTTTTATTCATGTTTCAATTAATATTTCTACATGTAATTTAGCATAATTTTAAATATTAAAAGTATCTTAACATTGTAACTAAAAATTCATTTTTTCAACAAACAAGAACATTTTGAAAATGACGAATGTTTCAGATGTATGTACAAATTTAACGGACTATTGTTGCTTTTTGCAGAAGTTTGTAAAATGTTGTTCTGTTTTACGTAAAGATCTAAAGATTTAAAATATTTTGCATAAAATCTTTGTTGTTTATGTGTTTGAATAAAATATTTCAATTCTGACAAATTTTAACACTGGTCACATAGAAATATGCCAAGTGATAACGCTGAATTAGTGATGTTGAGTATATGTTGTAAGATCCGAGTAACATAGTAGTAAAATAAAAATAGAGATAAAAATATACAAAATGGCCCACCGGAGACATTCTTGAATGCCTCAAACGACTTCTTTATTGTATAACTATACGCACAATCGTAATTTTCGTATGTGACATGGTCTTAAGAGTAATACTTCCATTTCTTTAAAGTTTATGTCTTCGGTATTAGTCAGTACTTGTCTGGTTGTGAGCATATGATGAAATGCCGTAAACAATATCATACCGATATTCATTCTTTCAAGGATTGATTACACTGTTAGCAGCAATAGAACGGGGGAAAAGACGTTCGGAGGTAAATGTTTGCATGCGATGAAAGAGACCGGCCTTAACCCATACCAAACGGTATAATAAGTATCTCTTATTTATTATTAATTACATAAGAAAGCGCAAAATGAATATTGCTTACATTGTTTTTGTCAGAAAGGTATGATTATATTGTGATAATTTTTTTTTTATTAAAACTTTTTCTAGGTAGCCTAATTCTTTTAAATAACACTTAATTCTTTCTGCATGTGCAATTTTCTCCATGCATAAAACACACACAAAGTGATTTTTCTAATAACTGAACTGTAGTCTTGAATTGCTATTCAAGTTAATAAAAAACAAGCCATAGTGACAATGATTTTAGTTTATATAATGCGTATTTTGTTACTATTCATATACGACAACGAATAGAGTTTCTGAAAGGCACACCATGCCTCTGAAACGAATAATTAATTCCTTCTCCAGAAATGGAAAATCTACTGATTGTTAAAAAGAAAAGGTGGTTCATGTAAGAAGCTAATTATCATTTTTAAGGAACAATAAAAAACACGAATAATAATAAACTTTTCAGAAATAACAATAAAAGCACTTATGGGTCATAATTAGTATTCTCAGGCCGTACAAATTACAAGTATAACTTGCAGGTAATTGATCATGTAAATGAAACGTTTATAAGTAAACTATTGTTTAAACTAAACCAGTTGAAATATTATTCAATCGAGCTGGCAAAAACAGTTTAAAGATTTCATACAGTTGAAATATACACATTTTATATTATTTAAATAATTATTCCTAGGTTATCTGCATTTTTGGTGAAACTCTTGAACCGTTCAATCGAGGAGAAAATATTCCTGTGTTTGGATTCGGAGACAGCAAATGTAAAGACAAGTCTATATTTGAACTTAAACCAGGGGTAAGAAAATATATATATTTAAGATTTATTTATAGAGTGTTATTAATATGAATCAATGTATTTTTGTAAAAATCAGTTCAAACTAAACCAACAATTCATTAAAGGTTTTATAAGACTTTCAATTTTATTTAGTTCCGCCCATTGTTTATTCGTTTAGGGCACACGCGTTCTTTTACTTGTGTACCATACGCCGCTTTTCATAGAGTGACATTACTGTGTCACATTGAAGTTTCCATGAATACCGCCATATGAACACATCTGCGGATGTTTCTAAATTCAAAATTTCACTATTTTTGTGTTAAAATGTTGAATTCTGCTAAAGCCGGTGCTAGGGCGTAGACGGTAACTTGCACTTTCCAGTACCGACCAAGAACAGGCTCAATCAAACCGAGCCTGCAACATTTTACAATTTTGCCGTGTTGGGCTTTCTTTAGGGATTCAGTTTTTCTTTATTTGTTAGAATAGATAACACACTAATATGAATTTATGGTTGCTCAAATTTCAAATATTCCTTTCTGAGTAATGAGCTAAAATATTTCAAGATTTTCATACTACTCAACTTTTGCTAAGCACTATACTTATGTTTGAGTGTGAATATTGTTTGGAATAATTTTATCAACGTCGTGCGAAAGGTTTTAAAATTTAAATGTTGATTCACTGTTTTATAAATTCAGCCGAAGGACGAGAGTAACCCTATGAATGAGTTTTACACTGATTTTGCGCTAGAGAAGAGGCTGACCCCCCCTCTTTGAAGATTTCAGAACATGCAACGTGTTTTCCAAATTTGTTAAATTAGATTATCTGTTTACAATTGTAGACTAAATACCGTGTGTATTACCCTTGACTATCAATAACAGCTTGGCAGCGCCTTCTTATACTCCCTATTTCGTTTTTGATCGTTCTAACGGGTATGGCTGCCCAACATGGCTCCAAGATCCTGGATGCAGCAGAGGAGCTGAAATTTTAACCTGCAGCTTATTCCACATGTGTTCTATTAGATTTAAGTCAGATGAGCGAGCTGGTCAGTCCATGCGCTCAATAGACTCCCTCTCTAGGTAGTTCTGGACCACCCAGGCACTATGGGGACGAGCATTATCGTCCATGAGAATGAACTGATCGCCGACTGCTCCAGCATACAACCTAACCTGATTGTCTAAGATGTCGTCAATGGTCTCCCTTATACCATAACTGACCAACCTCAGTAGCGGTCATGCCCAGCAATATTTGCAGCCTGAAACCGTTCACCTCGTCTTCTCCAGACTCTAGCACAACTATCTTTGAAGTCTAGACAACCTGGACTCGTCAGTGAACAGAACGTGTCTCCAGTTTTGCGTTGTCCAACGTGTTTGCTCCATGACCCATCCCAAACGGGCCTGACTATGCTGACGCGTCAAGGGGATACGTATGCAAGGTCTTCTCGACCGCAAATTACCGTCATGCAGCCTTCTACGTAACGTCTGCGTAGAAACACGGACGCCCGCAGCATTAGGAAGGTCATTTCGAAAATAAGTCGCTGTTGAAAACGACAAAATACCGATCCTGAGGTGGTGTTGTAACCCTTTGCCGACCTCCAGAACACATCCTGGCGGGTGTACCATGTAGCCGATATCTCTCTCAGGCTTTGGTGATTACGGTGTAGTGTACACCAAGCGCTGCACCAACTTGGTGGAAAATGGTGCCCTGCTGCACCATCCCTACAGCCCTCCATAACTCTGCTTCTCTCTTATGTTAGCATTCGCTATATCGATGTGACAAATGTAAGAAATGTAAGCCACTGAATGACAATAAGCCTTTAATGTCACCGTTTAACAAAAGATATGTGGTTGAACACCCCTCCAAAACATTAAAATATGGGGGGCATGCTTTCCATGCTGCATAGACGAGTTGTAACGAATAAGTCAACACGAATTCATGTCAGGGGACTATTTTAAAACATTGCTGAATCAGAGGTTTCAAAATTTGGAAAGAGATCTGTTTTATACTTGTGATAATATAAAAATTAGCTTATGGTGCTTAGCAAAAGTTGAGTAGTATATTTATGTGAATTAAATGACTGATTATGCAGTATTTATGACCATATTTCTACTGCGTGACTAACGCAGTAAGGCCTATTTTTGCAAATAATTTACCTGTTTCTGGTAATATACATTGATTGTAAGTGCCGTTTACAATGTGTAAATTACTTTCTTTGTTCATTTTCACAACATTATACTTTTAACTGCATTTTCATAATTTCCATAAAAAACAGCATAAATCGGAAGGCATGCTGACCAGAAGTATGTCATTCACCTGATTAACAGTGTCTTATACATTTCTTGACCAGGAGCAATTAGGAACTGCTAGTCATATATTAGCTGCTTACAATGAGGTCACACCTACAATAACGCTTGGGGGACCAACGCAATTTACCCCTCTGATATATGCAGCTATCGATGTAGTCAAAGAAACAAAAGAGGTACATTCAAACATCAATTCATATGTTTAAGTGTTATAATATCATAAATGTTAGCAACAATGATCTTTATTCCAAACTCTTTTAATGAAAGTAGGAACGCATTGGTCATACAGATCGAAAACAATAATACATGTATATTACTAATACTCTGAAATAAAATACAAATTGGAGAAATTATTATATAACATTATATAACAACTTAAATATTTAATTGATCATCGCAGCATCTGCGTATCGTTAGAATGTAGCGATTGACCTGTGTTTGTGTGTGAGCATGGATGTGGCCGTGTGCGTGTCCGTCTTGTAGTAATCAATGATCTACAAGACCTTACATTAATGCCCAGATTTTTTACATGTGGTGTAACCTAGTAGATCTATAAAGATCTATAACTAGTTTAAATTTAACTTATGACCCTAGAGGTAAAATTGTGCTCGGGACACAATATAAAGTGAAAACTTAGAATATGTCCTGGAGCTTTGACATTTTACATGAGGCATTACCTAGTCGGTTCATTAAATCGGATCATGGTACATACGATGCGATCAAATTTGCATAGCTCCTGGTTCAACATGTCAGACTTTCATTTCAATTTATGTACAAGCTGAAACCTTCGTGTTCGGACATATGATACAAATGCGGTGTTAATCAATATTTAGACGCAGGCAAGTTAAAGATCATGGCGGATAATATTGGTATTTGTTTGGTGATGCATGCAAGCAAATGGTCAACTTATGGTACCGTCTATAAATTAGTGCTATACCGTTCGGTTGCATTGCAGCTATCACATACAAACATGTAATATTGATTACTCTGAATATTTTAATTCGTTTTAGCTTGTAATGACTTTTCGAAAAATAAAAGGGTTATCCTACTCATCCGGGCGTCAGCGTTGCACTTTGGTTAAAGTATTGCATGCAACATCGTTTCTCACCAACCGCGAAAGACTTAAGATATTTCACGCTTATTTTGGAGCATAATAGGTTACTTAGTTCCAAAACTCAAACAGATTTTGACAGAATCATGTCCCTCTTTGATTTTTGGTAAAAGTTTTACATGTAACATCAATCTTCAAAACTGTGATAAAGGTTTTCTCTATTTTTCGGGATCATAATTGGAGGGTGACTATTTAAAGCTCAAGCTCTAATATGTATTCTGACTGAATTATGTCCCTTTTCGAACTTACAAAATTCTTAGTATATGTTTTTCGTGCAACACCTATCATTAAAACTAATAAAGGTTTTCACATTTATCTGATTGCATGTCTTTGGGAACATTACAGGGGGTCGCTATGAACGACCTATAATTCTGACATGAATTTTGGCCGGAATAAAACCTTTTGAACTAGAAAATTATTGGTGCAACACCAATCTTTTAAAATACTGAAGGTATACACATGAAACTTAATTGGACGTCCATTTCGAAGGCATGGAATTTGACTGAATTATAGCCCTTTTGAACTAATATATGCCTACAGGGTCATGTCTGAAGGTCACTATCCAAATCCCATAAGAACGGTTTTGATAATCTAAACTTAACTTTTAAATGTATTCACATGAAACTTAGTACATATTTTCGGGTCAAAATTGGAGGTCACTTTCCAAGGCCCATAACTCTGACATGAATTTAGGAACTGTTTGGTTTAGGTACTTCCTTTTAAAAAGTAATAATTGTATTCCTCTGAAGCTTTATTCATGCCATTAACAAACACTGAACTTTTCTACTGAAAAATCTTGTCTATTATTATTATTGTCGTTGTTTGAATAAAAATGAACCTTGTGCAAAGCACTGAGATAAAAATACGAATAAATGCAAGTAAAAAATTTATTTTTAGTATCTTTCCTTAAATCATTACTTACCCGATGGACAGATCCAGATGAAAAACGGACAGCAAAGGCAATCCCATCCGAGGCTTCTGGAATAACCACTTTCCCATCATGTTGTCGGCGTCGGGCGATGGACATGGGACACTATTTAACGGGGTTTGACGAATCAATTTTCCTGCAAGAAATTTTGATAACTTTCAGTTCGTAAACTTCCACGAAGTAATGGATGATCGAACAAATCCAGAGGCTGCTTTTGCGCTTCATGCTTTAATGGAAATACCAAAGCAGTATCAATATTTGAAAAGAGAAGGTCTTATTGAATAAACTGTTGTGAATTAATCTGCATACTTCTCAAGATACCTCCGACGTTTTAAAAACAATAATTTTTAGTTTCCCAAGGAGAATCTATTGTGCATTGATAACCCTCTAACAGGCTACAATCAAACATTTAAAGCAAAACATTATATACATTTTTGTGTTGAACAGAGTAAACACATAGGAGAAAGTGTAATTGATGTTGCAATGTATAATTGCCATTGAATGATTTTATCATTCATCGACTCTTGGACGACTTTGTACATGTATTTGTTTTCTATGAATCCGCTATGTTTAATTTTTTGGATGCATTAATAATAAATAATAGTAACTGATATATTCATACAATGCTCTTTTCATCTTTTTAATTATGATTATACAGTTATACTTATAGCGAACACGGTTATAGCGAACTTCCGGTTATAAGAAACAATTTATTTTTGCCCGAATTTTGTCCTTCTTTATTGAATATAAAAATATACGGTTAAAGCGAACTCGGTTATAACGAATTATCGCTTATAAGGAACTCATTTCGTAGTCCCAATTTAGTTAAAAGTACAGAAAAATTTTACTTTTATAACGCACTCCAAAATATCCCGTATTTTTAACTTTCGATTTCATTGGCACGGGTTAAATCTCGGCCGAAAACTGTGAAAATGAATTGGTTAGCAGTTCGTAAAGTTTTTATTTAGGATTGTTTTAGCATGAGTTCTTGTCACCAAGATAAAACGGTTATTTCTTTTATTCTATAATTTCTTTTCTTTAATAGTGTTGCTCGAGTAAATTAATTATGATCATATAGGTTTTCAACATAATCACGCATGCTTGCTAATCCATTGAAAAACAACAAAGTGCGCTTGATTGAAATGAAAAGAAATCTATATCTTTCATAAATAAAAGTCACCCTTAAAATTTAATAGAATAGGAAGAAAAAATCGGAAATCTTGTTTAAAAGAAAGCGAAAAGCACTGAGTTAAGAAACAAAATATGATATTTTATGTGAAATTTAGAAAGGGGGTAAAACAAAAACTGAAAAAGCAAAGGATTTTCAAATTCCAAAAAGTACGTTTTCGGGTATTGTGTCTAAAAAGAAATAAATGACTAATTTTTCTTAATCAAATGATCTTCAAAATGGCGGACGATGGTAAACAATCAGTTCGTTATATGTAAATCTGTTCGCTACAAAAACTCCTGATACAAGGAACAAATTCGCTATATGCTTACAAGGAACATCGAATATAAGGAGCAGATTTTGAATGTCCCAATTAGATCGTTATTAGCGGAGTTTACTGTAGATATAAAAAATATGCAGTATATATTTCAGTATAGTCTTTTGCTACGACAAGTGCAAAGTCAGAAGCCTTTGAAAGATAAACCGTGCATTATTATATAAGATATAAAAAATATATATTTATATTCTAACATGCTAATAAAAAGATAATTGATAAAATTATATTGCACTACATTGAGTTGAGAATTAACTTTCCTGGCGTCATATGGTTTATTGACGTCATATTTGATGTCATGTCACGTGTTAGCATTCCTTCTTGCATATATCTTGTAATAATGCATTTGATTTATAGGGGAAAAGTGTGAAGCGTGTGAGAAGCGTGTTAGTATCTTCGATAGATCTTCGGTTATGCCCGTTAGATGTACGGACATTAACGAGCAAATTATGATTTTGTAATTTCTGTGTTTTCAAAATAACGTATTGTAGGATCGTTACTGCGGAGCTCCTTGTACTTTTTATTTATTTCTTTTTTACATTTCTAACATTATTGAAGTATTTGACTATTCTGTAAGCTGTACGATGATGTTGTTTTTTTATTGTGACAGTTTCTATTTTTGAGTCTTATGCTCTTATGCTCTTAATTTTGGTAAAGTCTTTAATCTTTTTCAACAACATCGTTCAATTATTAATAAATATTTTAAATTTGAAACAAAGAGAAATCAATTTATCTTTGTTCAGATAAGTTTAATACAAAACAAAAAGACAAAATAGCGGATCGAAGTTGGATCGAATATTCAAACAAGTGCTTTAATGTAATCATTATTGACAATAAATTATAATGATAAAATCAAACACATCTAAGGGCAATGTTCGCAAATATTTTGACATTAAAGTTTATCAGGAGAAAACACAACTGTAAATAGTTTAACAAACATTGTTCTATCAATTTTACAAAAGTACAATAAAGAAGAGCAAGTTTATAGACCATAGAAAGAAATACACTAAATGCTCTTCCTTACATGAACATAAAAGGTAAATAAGAAGACATTATTAAGATTATTTTGGGTTATTCTTAATTCAATGAGAATGTCATTCTCGCAAATGCTTTATTTTACTTCAAAAAAATTGGAGCTAGATTAATCAGCCATTCCATGTTCCCTCCACTCATCTGTGCATTTCATAATTTTAACTAAACAAAATAAGAAATGGTTTGACAAAATATTTCTCAGTCTTTATTAAGATAAGAAATGACTATCTCTCTTGTTTATATCTGCTCTTTATATACATTTAATTTCTATGGTTTAATTTGATCGTATGAAATATAAGGTTTTTGAGTATCTAAGTATGGGCGACAGACATTTGAATAAGGCATGTCCCTATATGATCAAATATTGCAGTTCAATGCAGCATATACTTCCAAATTGGTAGGTAAATATTAGTCGCTGTATAGTTCAACAACAACAACAACAATTATAATAATAAGAATAACAACAATAAAATCCAGCCAAAATAAACGCACTAGAAGCGCAATTGATATAAATGTGAAAGAAAAAATTAATTTAACATTCCTCATGTGCTCAACTGCTAATCTAAAAAAACAATAAAAAACCAAATTTGTATGCGTCATTTTCAACAGTTTCTCGGAGTTTAAGAATATAAGATTTAAATAAAAAATAAGTACTACCTGTCCAAGTAAAAATTGTTTCAACCATTTGACTTATTTTTGTTTTTTCATTAAGAAACATATTAAAAATACATAACGGCCAGTATGACTTGATGTCAGGCATTTGTTTTAATTCTTTTATTTGCAGCCAACACTCCCATTCCAATGATGGCTTGAATATCTAAATTTAAACAAGAGATATATTCTAGAGGGCATAAACATTACTAAGATCAGTCCCCCCCCCTTTTTTTTTTAAAGATTTCCAATATTGTTCACTGTCAATTTAGATTAATGATTTCGTTTATGTTGGAGTTAAAAAAATTGCCTTTTATCAAAAAAAAATCAACTATTATGTTTATTCAATACAGGTACTATCTAAGCACTAGGTTATTACTATGTCTGTACAATAACAGACTTTATTCTTTACACGAATTTCTTAAATTTACAAAGAATATAATTCTTTAAAGAGAGTCCGATGGAATTTTCTTTGTAATACATTTTGTCTTCCACGCTTCGAAGTTATTTTGAAAAAGTCTTGTGATTTAATAGACCATAATATTTAAAATATCAATGCATTCAGATGTGAAATAGATTACGTGTACACTGCTGGGCAAATAGGTAATCTAACTGCGAACATATAGCATGTAACATGCCCGGTATTATACGTTAGCAAGTAACATGCCCGGTATCATACGTTAGCATGTTACATGCCCGGTATCATACGTTAGCATGTAACATGCCCGGTATTATACGTTAGCATGTAACATGCTAGGTATCATACGTTAGCATGTAACATGCCCGGTATTATACGTTAGCATGTAACATGCCCGGTATTATACGTTAGCATGTAACATGCCCGGTATCATACGTTAGCATGTAACATGCCCGGTATTATACGTTAGCATGTAACATGCCCGGTATCATACGTTAGCATGTAACATGCCCGGTATTATACGTTAGCATGTAACATGCCCGGTATCATACGTTAGCATGTAACATGCCCGGTATCATACATTAGCATGTAACATTCCCGGTATTATACGTTAGCATGTAACATTCCCGGTATCATACGTTAGCATGTAACATGCCCGGTATTATACGTTAGCATGTAACATGCCCGGTATTATACGTTAGCATGTAACATTCCCGGTATCATACGTTAGCATGTAACATTCCCGGTATTATACGTTAGCATGTAACATGCCCGGTATCATACGTTAGCATGTAACATGCCCGGTATCATACGTTAGCATGTAACATGCCCGGTATCATACGTTAGCATGTAACATGCCCGGTATTATACCTTATACTTTCCAAAATTATGTTGTATATCAACCGCGATCAAAAAAAGAAAATTCACCAAAAACGAAAGGTGAATAACCTTTCTTTCACTGCAGGTTGTTCATTCCGAAGAGGGTTAATCCCGACCTTTATTATTATATTATATTCAGAGGCCGATATTTGACGAATTCCCATGAAACTTGACACGTAAAAAGTAAGCGGTGTTTAACTTTAAAATACACAATACAAATAGGTTAGTAGTTGTTCCGCTTCCATGATTTAAATATACATGCATGCAAATACTATATATAGAACAAGATGGTATGGTGTTTTTTTATATATATTTAACTCGTTCTTAAAGTCACAACTATGATATATCGCTTACCTAGAGTTTAAATAGACTCTCTATCAGAATTAATAAAGCATAAAGATTGTGACCTTTATAAAAAATACCCCCAAAAACAAAAGGACAAAAATATCCTGTGTACTAATAAATATACAGTTTGCCTTTGTATAGATATGAAAGGATTTTATATAGGTTATAAGATCATTTTTATAAGATTTCATTGAAGCATTTAAGTGTTTTATAACTCCTGTCACCATTAATACTGATAATGTACATTCTTCTTTAAGCTTGTATACTACATTGAACAGTGATAACGTACGCATTCGAACAGCAATGGAACGTGAACCTGGTTTTCTTACGACCTGTATGTAAACACTTTGAAAACGGATATAACGTAAACATCGGTATACTTGCGAAACATTCTAACGTTTTTAGGGGATTAACTCGTCATTAAAGTATAGATTTTGTTTTATTGTGTCATACATAGTTTCAGTTTGACTCAATAGGTAAATGATCATCTGCATCAGAGAACAAGACTGCGGAAGTGAAATAAAGTTCATAATTAAAGTTTGTATACTTTGAACAGCACTTGTGAAGTATTTTAACAAATTTCATGGCGGAGTCAAGACATAGCGGAATGTCTGAGTCTGGCTTTATGTCAGTGGATGGTAGACGATCTATAGATACTGTGCATGTTTTCACATCACATGATCCTGTGGATAACCACGATAATGTAATACTGGATGAGTTTGATACACTGGAAGAAGTAAGAGAGGCAATCAGAAAGCAAGGTCTTGAAACATGCAACTTAATATTCGGTATGTTCATTAATTTTTTTCTAGCATCTATTGCTTAATCTACTGCTTAAATTGTTAAAGTAGCATCAAAACAAGAACACAGTTTCACATAGTGAAGGTCGATTCCTTTAAGTCACTTCCACTTTACAGATGTGCGTTGGAGCCCTGCTAGGCACTTTGGATTCTTAGATGTTAAGAAGCCTTGCGCACGGAAGGTCAGTGATATATACTGGAATTTCCGCTCATCTCTCATATATTGGAGGTAGGACGTTCTCCAGAACAGCTTTAATGCCTCAATTTGACCTTTATAGTGTTTGTGAGAGGAAAATCAAACAAACTATGTACGCTAATTGTTTTTAAAAGGAAGATATGCAACACTTGTATAAAACATCGTTTTGTAACTAACACTGTCAAAATGTAACAAAATAAGTAAATATCAAATAGTAATTGTACATTTTAATTTCATTACTGGATAATTGGGTGATACATGACCCTCACAACGTGATAATGTGGTTTAAACTGTTGATATAATTTTGCAGTCATATGCTTAAAATGTTTGAATTTTGATATACTTATATGATATAACACTATTTGAAAATGTAAGATACAAGAAATAAACCTTCACATTAAAACTGATTTTGAAATAATATATACAAAATACATTATTTTCAAAATCCCATTGATTGTAATTGAATTACAATGAAATTATAACAGGATAGATTAATGTTTATTTCAAAATACATGCATGTATCTAAACTCTTATTGAAAGGGCAGGTTTTTAAAAGTTGTAGATATTACAAAAAATTGTTTACAATATATAAACATAGCATGAGATAACACACGTTATCCTTTCCAATCAAGTCCGTGTAAATACATCTAGGTATATAATAGACGACAACGCAGGTATGTTATAAATACAAGTTTGTCAATACTCCGTGTGTCAGAGGGATTATTAGAACGTGAAGTTTTATATTTCATGCGTAGTGTTTAGTTTTGAAATAGTTTAATGATTTTAAAACGAGTCAAAAACCTTTAGAAACAATCATGGATGGACAGGTTGATGCGGGATATGCTTTAGGAAGTGATGACATTGAATCAGAACAAGAAATAGATCCGCGTCTAAAGGATAAATATGACAAATTTGACAAATTAAAACCAGAACTATATTCTTCCTTTGAGCAAATAAGGAAAGCGTTAAAAAAACAAGGATTAGAAACATGTAGTTTAATATTTGGTAAGATTTTTATTTCTTAAATTTATATGATTTAAGTCTGATCTCAATAAAAATGGTAGTAAAACCTTTCCATATATAAACACGGTATTAAAAAAACGCTACTCAATATAAACCTATAAACATTAAACACCTGTAATTGTTTAGTCAAGTAGAGAAAATGTGTACTTAATGTTCGACGTTCACTTCAAGTAAACAGTATTAAGTATTTTAATGACGAAACCTTGAATATATGCCGCAAAATTATTTTAAAAACCATATGTCGAAGAAATTTTGAATATTAAACTCAACAAATATATAAACATATATTATTTTCTACTTGCAACTTGTATAATCCTTATAAAGGAAGTTGTTTGAAGTTTGTAATACCACAACACTCATAAAGCTTGCCAAAATAAATCTATATATTCTTTAGAATAAGAAGATTTTAAAATGACTTATGTGCCCTTACTATTTGTTCGTGTCATCTTATACTAGTATTTTGATCACATGCTTGTCACTAAATAAATCTATTCTCTGTCCGTGCGATCATCAGTCGATCAATCGATGACATGTTACGACTTGATTTAAACATACATTATATTATTTTTGATCTTTTTTAATGCTAACATTTTGAGTTCTTCTAAAACCGGTGCTGGGGGGGGGGCTTGGTAGGTTGCTTACATTAACCACTGTCGTCGATATACATACTCTGTATAATCGAGCCTTTAATGTGTTTTATTTGCCGTATTGATTGGCCTTAATGGTTGCTTTTTTCAATATTTTAACCGATTTGTAAGGAAATTGGTTTCTCGACATAATATGTAAATGTCTCGATGTCCTGTATATGTAACGCACTCTCAATTTAACTGATAAGAAGGTATTACGTTCATGAGTATTTAATTATACGCCGCAGATAACATTTATAATGATACATGTATAGTTGGTTGATAAAATCTAGCTATATTAGTTTGGTTTTCAGATAAACGAATCATGTAGATTTATTGCAGGTATTGACTACACGATGAGTAATAAAAGCCAAGGTCAGAAAACCTTCGAGGGAAGAAATTTACATTCTATATCAGACTCTTTCCTGAATCCATACCAAAGAGTAAGTATATAAAACATGAAAATTATTAGAAATATGATATCTATTTAAGTTTGAGAATTGTTTAGAATTTTAAGAAGCATTATTACTGATAAGTGAGTCACTCTTGACAAGCTAAGTGTGTCAGTCTGACAATGAATTATTAACCATTTTAAAATTGATTTATAGCACTGTTTCATGTGATTTTGAACATTCAGCAAATATATTTTAGAAATTTGGTTTAAACATGTTTATTTCAGCTCGATTGCGAAACAAGTTCTTGCAACTTATATAAATCACTTTCGAGTCCGCATTCTGGAACGAACCAGTACTGGTATTATATGAAGAAACATGGTCGTGACCCGAGTAGGGCTCGCAACCATGATCTCTGGGTTGAGAGTCAGACACCTTAACCATTAGGCCACCCCTCCCCTTTTAGAAATTTATTGCCTAAAATATTGAAAGTTAATGATTTCAACGTAGATCTATTGAAAGATAAAGGCATAGTTTCTTCTCTAGTTTTTAAAGGAACTCAACTGAGGTTTATAAGCGTAAAAACATAAAATTTTAATTTCTCACATAGATCAACATTAGCACTTAAAACAGAAATATAAATAAAATATAATTAAGAAATATACAAGAAATACATTGAAAATCATAAGTTTGTGCTATTCTCAGTCCGATTTGTGTGAAAAGCGTTTAAACGCTTTTCAATTTTGGGTCATTTTTCACTATTATAATAATTAGTCTGGAAAAACAGAGCAAGCTAATAATATGAAGTTCTGCACATGAGTTATAAGTATAGATCTACATCAAATGGAGTAATAATCTCAAAAAATTATTTCCAGTCCCGTCATGTCAAAAAACCTCAGTGGAGTCCCTTTAAGCGAAAGATAAATGCGAAAAAGTTAAACTTGATTTACTGCTTTTCTGCCTGTTTTGTATTATAACTATAAAAGTTATACGTATTTAAAAACTTAAATATATATTTTGCTCACCATTGGGTAAAATACTTTTATTGCAGAAATTTATTGAAATCTAGTAAATTTTTCCTGAGTATGTCTATTTTAAATAAATGAATGTATAAACTATGTTTGGGAAGCTGCGTTTCCTATAACTTGTCGAATTAATTTGGTCTATACTTATAAAAACTTCTGTTTTTTTTAATCACACAGTGTAATATTACTATGATAACATATCTTCTCCCAGTGTTTACTAGTATTTTAGTTATAATCAGTTTTTTTTTCAAATATCAAATTTGAGCTTAAGATATGATCTTAAAAAAGTTAAATTTCCGTTGTATATGATAATTTAAAACTATTTCAGGTTATTTGTATATTAGGAGAGACATTAGAACCGTTTGATGAAGACGGGATTATCCCTGTATTCGGGTTCGGTGATTTCAAATGTAAAGACAAAACTATTTTTGAGCTCAGACCAGAGGTAAATACATGTAGTTATTAGATTGCTTTAAAATCAATAAGACATACCTTCAGATATAACCAATACTGTGTCAATTATTTAACACGTTTTTTTTGTATACAATATAACTGATTGATATCCATCTTTAAGTTAGATGAATGTCAGCGAAATGTATATGAATATAGATTAATATTAATGACATATATATTGTCATATTCGTAGATATCGGCAACCTTTTAAAGTCATACAAATGCTACTAAACACAGTGACTTCCGCCATATCAAGACAAAACACAATATCAAACATCGACTATTTTCTTTCCTCTTGTAGGTTCTCATGTTTTTTATATAAATGCTCTAATACCCTATTGTAACATGCAGAAACAATAAAGTAAATATACATATATTCTCTATGATTGTATCCTAGGAACATTGTGAAGGATTTAGTGATGTACTGGATGCCTATAACGAGGTCACACCAACAATTAAGCTAGGTGGACCAACAAACTTTGCACCGTTGATACACAAAGCCATTGAGATAGTGAAGGAGACAAATGAGGTAATTAAAAACACGGTTTTACACAAAGCTATTTAAATAAGACTGTAATGGCCATTTTGTCGTTCTTCTGCCAAAAATATATGTTAACCATTCATTTCATGTAATAATGGTTTGATTTACTTCTCCAACTATAGCAATGATTCAACTACGTTTAAAGGGAGACACAGGCAAAATTTTCATTTCTTCCTTTTGAATTTTTCATTCATTATTCTGTAATCGTCCTCAAAATGAATACACTAGGCAGTCACAGAAACAAAACTTTTCTCCTTATAAATAATAAAATGGTTGTTTCCTAAATTGACCCACGTGGGTCAGGTTACAGCGTTCGAATTTCACAATAGTTGTCACACTGATTACTCTGGAAACGTTAAAGAACATGTCAAATGAATTACTTAGACTTGTTTCAATAATATAATATCAACAATATCTGTTATTGTAACTTCCAGGGTTTGTTCAAGTCAAATGGCTTGTTTTAAAATTACTCGGTAATTCTATCGGTGTCTAAATTTCGTTCAACAATTATGGATATATTTAAGCTTCAAACCCAAAATATATAGAATTTATACAGAGTTTTATGCTGGGACTTTACAAAATGTCATTTTAGCGTGATTTGAGTACATAAGATAATTTTTATATCTTTGTCATTAATTTGCATATACTATTCTTATACTTTTGTTTCTTTATGATTATGAAGGAGGTAGAAAAAGTGGACTGCCTGACAGGCACTCGAACCTTTGATCTTGTGAAAAGCGATCTACGGCTGTTTATTGACTAAGTTACTCAGTCGCATATACACTTTCTACCAAATAAGTGAACAGTTTTGTTCCGTGATGTTCACTTGAAGTTCAGATATTTTAGAAAGCGTTTATTCAATAACATGACCATGCCTTTGAAATGAAGAAAACTAATATCTTATGTGTAATTTGTTGTCTATTCTAGTATCACATCCTGGTCATTGTTGCCGACGGTCAAGTTTCATCAGAAAATCCGACCAAAGAAGCACTTATAGAGGCATCACATTATCCATTATCTATAATTGTTGTTGGGGTTGGCGATGGACCATGGGGATCTATGAAAACTTTTGATGACGGACTCACGGACCGTCAGTTTGATAATTTTCAATTTGTTAACTTTCACGAGGTGACGAAAGACGCGGAAAATCCTGAAGCTGCTTTCGCACTTCATGCATTGATGGAAATACCAGAACAATATAGATACTTAAAACAGAAAGGCCTTGTTCGTTAGCATAGCTGTATTGTAACATTTTTCACGCGACTCATTCCCTTCACAATCAATATTGCATGGTACATTAATTCCAGTTATATCTATGCATATCATGAGATGTTTTCATAAGTTGTATATAGTGCAGACATTTTGTTTAGCATCAGAAAAAAGTGTTCCTATAGTTATATTATGCTAGTCGTAATCAGAATTAAAAATGCCTCCTCCATTTTATTTTTATATTTGATAACAATAACAAGGGTTTACACTAGACAAGTTCGAAAGATGTTTTCGAAAAGAAAAAAATGTTATTAACTTTGATTATTAAAAGTGTCATACACATTTGTCTTACAATTATTCTATTTATGTAAATTTCACCTTTGTTTGAAAATACAAAATACTCCACGAGCTTCTAAAAACGTTATACTTATATTTCATACGCCGTTGCTTTGAGTACATGCAAAGATCCAGCACGATATTATTTAATGCGATTTACACGGAACAACATTTACGTTATGCGACTTTGTGTCAATCTCACTCCTTTTCAAACAGTCAACTCTGTGCAGCATACACTTGAACCACCTACTTATACGAGACATACACAAATTTTCTGTGAAATTTTCAGCACACACAGGACTTTGCAGCCTAAAATTTCTGAGATATTGTAAACTGTCTGTCTTGTATTGTAATGTCTGTCTTTTATTAAAATGCTTTTAACTTTCTCAACTGGTTATGATAGATTGACTACAGATATTCCATTTGTATTTTTTACGTCAGCTGTTACATATTTCTTATAACGATTTATACAAAGGACCACAAATCATTCTGGTTCTTTTTCACGAGTTTAATTTTTTTTTCACAGGACAGTTCCGTGCTCGAGGGGTTAGAGTCGATGACTTCTAATCCAGTTACCTCTCTGGCATGGGTTCGATCACCGGGAGATGCTTTGGTAATTTAGCGCGGAGGAAGGTAGGTTACTGGTGTAACTCTCCAGGAACGATGGTTAGGAAACTACCGCCTTTATGACTGAAATACTGTCGGGAAAAGGCGTAAAATGAAGCGAACAAACAAATAGCTGTTACCATGCAGCATTTATTGTAGAAAGTGATAACGTTTGCTGGGGCGCGTCAGCGTTCAAACAACCATATTTTATTATGCTTATATGAGCACTGTATGAAGAATGAAGAAAAAGAAGCAATGTAAACACGCATGACTTGCGATGTCCTTGAAACTATGTCCAATAGCGTCAGTCATATGGTTAATATCAACGTCATAATATTAGGCAGATTTGGAACGCCATTGACAGCTAACTCTGTTTTGAAGATTATAGTTAGGATTGTAAAATGACGATGTTTGGCATGGGCCACATACGCACATCTTAGGTCTTATATTAAGTGTATGTACACATTCATGAAATAATGTTTATTATTTTTACTTCAATTTGATGATAATACAATTTTCTTAAGCTGTGTGTTAGGCTAGCGCGTTATATTTTGGTTTTACAGTGATTGTCCACGATTTTGTGGGACAGTTTTCGTTATGCATTACTTTTTACGATCATACATCGACAATGAGGATCTGTTTCACACTGTTTTTTATATAAAGAATAAAGAAAATGTAAATTATGTAAATTTTACATTTTTATTTTAATCGAAATATCATCTATGTAACACGCTGCTTAAGTTATTTATATGGCGCTGATAACCACTGGTTTATTAAGCTGAATGTTAGCGGTTTACTTAGCTCAATAGAGAGAAAGAGATCAAATGTCCCTCACCGTTGACAGGACGAATAGTCAATTGTGGAGAAATTAAAATCGACGTATACACCAGAAAAAAACAAAAACAACAACAACAACAACAAAACCCTTTGGTTACAGCGACTTAAAACAAATTTTCAGGATCAATTTAAAACAAGTAAACGAGTAAAACTTCATTAAAACATTAATAACACTTTGTAAACATTTTCATTCTGAGAGAAAAGTACATTATATAGTCTTACAGTTCCGCTTCAGACTTTTCATGTTAACGAGTCAAATCCCTTGTGAATGTCACGCTCCATGATACTGTTAATTAAATTGAAAGTAATACATTTATTGATGTCGGAAATGATATTGCTACATTATTTACATTCTAAATATACATGGTTACAAAGTAGTACGCTTAACAATTTATATACATGTGTACTTTTACTCTATCAAACGTTGTGTTTAGCATGTTAAATTTCAATAAATGCTTAAAAAATTTATTCATGAGAAATGATTTGAAATAGTATTATAACCATTTCGATTATGGACGAGAAAGTTAACATATTCAAATCAAGACAATTTATACCTTTCGCATCCATAACATATTAATAAAAATGACATGCCGGTATTGTTTTTGTCATTTCAAATGCAAGAGCTTCTTCGTTTGAAATTGGTTTTTACTAACAAGTACAGCTTGGCCGTAAATGTTTTCCCGTCATTGTGTTTTTGTCTATGCTATATAATGTTCAAAAACTTACAATATTACAACAGTTTTGTAACCTATGTATGTAAAAACATTCTACAGCCATAAAGAATATAGTAAAATAGAATAAAATAGAATAAATACATGTAAAAAGCGGACTCGATTTTACTGAGTCTGTTCATGACAGATTATGAAAAGGCAGACATTTCTAACATAACAGCACTGGCTAAAAGTATGAATAATTTTCCACATCAAAATATTGAAATCGATGCTCCCGAAGGAACAAAACGGTATTAATGTACCAGAAACATATATATTATTCATAAAATAACACTTTTCAAATGTATTCAAATGATAGATAAATACGTCCTGAAGTGAGTGTTCCATTGTGGAATAGATATTTTACACAGAATTGGAAAATTCATCTTCAACACATGATCAACAAACTTTTTTTTTCATCGTTATTGTATTGCAATATCAGTAAATGTCCGACCTTTGACGCTTTCGAATAGTCTTCTGTTTACATATATATCTATTTCTTTGAATCATTTGTCAGTTTCTCAACGAATCCATTATCAATGCATTATTACAAAATATACAAATTAATAGTTGAAGAAAAGAAAATACAGTCAATTTTATGTTTGTTATTTTTCCATTATATCTTTATAACGACTCATATCATTGTTGCACAGAAATACTGCAACGGACTATTAATTAATAAATTAAGTCGGGAACACCAAACATAAAAAGGCTTTTAACAGCATACATTTTAAGAGGTGATAGACAAAACTAGGAAATCTATCAAGACGAGGCAGATTTTATTAAACTTTTAAAATGGAGGAAAAATCCGAAACCGTTAAATAAGCTTAATACTATAGCACTCAATTAAATATTAAAAGGGAAACCAGAGACTAACATTGCTAGGAACGGATCAAACGATTTCACTAACGGAGCAAACTTGGACATCGTTCAAGGAACATTGTAATCTATCATTAGCTTTTAAAATGAATGATATTGTTGAGCGGGAAAGATGTTTTTTACCCCGATAATGACCTTAGTATAATTATCTTATTTACACTTATTTTTACGTTAAGGATGACTTTTCAGACACATATTTTACTAATATTGGTATCAGTCAAATTTACTTTTAACATTATTTGCCTAATCTAAGTTTTTTTTTAAAGTTTTTCAATGTATAGCGAATTCAATAATTATAAACTTACTTTCAAAATGATTTATGTTTAAATTATCAGGTAACATGTCGTTTTGAAATAACAATAAACTTGATATTTTTTATTTTGTGACTTTGTAACCTCTCAAACTATTGTACCATAATTAGTGTATTCATGTTCAGTCAAACTTTTGTATCCTCTCCAACTATTATACCTCAATTAGTGTTTTCAAATTCTGAACCAATGTGCAGTCAAACAAATGAAAGTCTTACATTTATAATGAAATACCTTTAAACTTATCTTGATCTAACCATTCTACCCATCAGTAAGTTTATGTAGCTCAGTTATTTCAAAATAAAATACCATCGTGAGTGTGGTGTGTTTATATATGTAAATAAACATTGTTGATGTTTTTTTTTGCGTTGTATAAAATATTTACTGAAGGGAGTGTGAGCTCTGAAGTCAAATTGTAAATGTGTTTATATATAAAGTTTGTTGTTGTTATTTTTTCTTAATATAAATTCATACTGGATGGTGTGTGAGTTTTGAAGTAAATATGAACGATGGATTTGAAATGTGTGATAGTGTAAGTGGTAAGAGAATTGACGGAGATGTGGTACATTTTGGTTCGGAATCAGAAGAGGAGAATGATAATATAATACGCGATGAGTTTCATACCTTGGATGAGGTACAAGAAGCAATAAGGAAACAAGGACTAGAAACTTGTAACCTGATTTTCGGTAAATATGCAATATTACGTTCACTTATATTTCAATACAGTATGAAGTTGATGTATACGCAAAAGCAACAATTCTTTACAAAGACTGAACTGTCATGTTGTTAAAACTATATATGTGCAGTACTAATCTGACACATAGTGAAACATTTTATATATAGTCATAATTTTACATTTAGGCGGATATACTTTCTTTTATATAATTACTCATACAATAAATGTAAAGGCTGGCCATACAAGTTAAGCAATTAAGCAATATCTATATGGAATTTCGCAATTTTAGGCAATACTACAAAAGAATACTGAAAAGAATGATAACGAAAGTAACTTAAATGAGGGGAAATTTGCGACAATAAATTCAGAACACCGATAATAGTTAGTAATATACTCTTGTTTTGGTATAGTCATGAAGGTGTGATTGTGTGAATAAACCATAGCCAACGGGTAAATATGTGGTAAAACTTCATGATTACACTCTTCAGTGAACACTGGTTGGCTAACGATGAAATGAGAGCCTGTTTGATATTTAAATTTGATACTTAATAACAATAAAGTGGAGCACATTTAAATAAAAAATGAATTACGAAGTGTTATATTACAAGAAGAACATCTTGATTACTTTAATACGGTTTCATAAAAGTTAACATGACTAGAAACATTACTCAAGTAATAGAAAGAGCACTGAAACACGAGGTTATCTGATTTGTACGAGGGGGCGTAGCCCCCCGAGTATTAATCAGATTACCGAGTGTTTTGGTGTTCTTTCTCTTTTGTATCATAGTCAAACATAAAAACACGTTCCCTGTTGTTACAATATGAAACCCCGGCAAAAATGAACCAATGAACGAGCATCTAAATATGACATTTCTGTCGATTTCACTTTCACTGCCGTCACAATATGTAAACCCCAGCAAAAATGAGCCAATCAATGGGCATGCTCTGGAGTGCGGGTAACTAATACCCGCACTCCAGTTACCGCACGGTGCATGTATATGTATACGATTTAACCCTGACACATTTTCAACAGAAAGGTCTCCAAACTATGATACAAAAATATATATTGCAGTTAGTAAACAAGAGTAATCCCCCTTTAAATCAATAACATGTCCATGTTAATGACGCACTATGATTATCGTCAGATTAACACGTGTATCTGTTGTCAATTTGATTTTACGTAATGAAATTATTCATTTCTTTTTTGTTCAGTTGTATTTACTTATGAATTTAAGAAAAAACACAAAATGACTATTCAAAGTGAATCTATTCTTCGACTTCCTTTCCATTAAAACAACAACAATAAAATAATAATAAAAATAATAATAAAAATAATAATAATAATAATAATAATAATAATAATAATAATAAAATCATCTATTCTTTGACTTCCTTTCTATTAAAACAACAACAACAACAACAACAACAACAACAACAACAAATAATTATAATGATGATGGTGATGATAATAATAATGATAACAATGGCAATTATAATAGCAATATTTGTTTAGATGTTTTGAACTAACATTTTGTGACAATCGATTTCAGCTAAATGTTTAATATTTTTACTTTTACTGAGACATAAATTATCAGTTTAACATCCAATAATTTATATTTTCATTAATTTATAAGTCGTGTTCAGTTTACCGTACAATATTTTTTATTTTGTCTTCTTATAGGCCCTTAAACAACTGTGTTTAAGGTACAAGTCTGACTAATATAAGGCAGGGTTTGGATTGAGTATATGATATGAGTGCATTAACTTTATTAAATTATTATGTTTTTTTTAGCATGAACATCTGAACTAGTACTTCTAATTTCATTTGACAAACAGGTATAGACTATACAATGAGTAATAAAAGTCAAGGTTTGAAGACATTTGAGGGTAGGAACTTACACTCCATATCCGACACATTGATAAACCCGTATCAAAAGGTTAGCTTGACCTTTATTATCTTTTTTATTTTACTTTTGCTATCTAGTAAAAGGTCGAACTTAAATCTTATAATATATCATTATCGGTACATATGTTTAGATGCGAACACACATTTATCGCTTGAATGAACAAATATCTGGAAGAAAGTGAACTCTAGGAAGCAATTAAAACAGCAAAATCACATGAACATTGCAGACTCGGTTTGATTGAGTCCGTACATGAAGGATAATAAATAAGTGCAACATCCTTCACGCCCCTTAGCACCGACTTCAGCGGTACTCAGTTCTCAACACTTAAAAGTGCTGGACTCAACAAAATAGTCTTTATTAACACACACAACAGCCATTCCAGCAATAAAAGAGCCATCGGTGATAATAAATAACAATTTTTGCAGGTTTGAAAAAATGATTTTTAGGTTTAGTTACGGTTAAAATAACATTTCACAAATTTAATTTTAAAATACTGTACATTAATTTTATACCGTCACTAACATATTGGCTGCTAAACTATATCACCGAATTCAGACGTAACAGAGGTTAAAACCGTATACTTGCTTTGTTTGAAGACACAATAAACTATTTCAGGATGAACTTTATGTAACACGCTCAGATTCTTTCATCATATACATATTTTGCCGCATTGCAAAATAGCTTGCGAAATAAATCCTTGTCAACAAACCCAAAATAGTAAGATTGAAAAATTATTGAAAAAAGGATCAATATTTTCCCAGGAATACATATTCCTTTTGTCTCTCATAAAATCCAGATATTGGCCAAAAACAATATACTTTTAGGGTTTCTATACACCTTTTGTGTTGAACATTTAATGCTTAATAGAATTTCATATTAACTTTTATCTGCTACCTTATACGTTATGCATTTTCAAATTGGTATAAAATAACGGAAGTTAAAAAGTTTGACACTGAACTTTTATTTATTTTAAAACAATCAAAAAGAAATACATCAAACTAAAATGTAATTATAACTGTCAGTAAACTTTGATATGATCATATTTATGATATCTCAGTGTCATAACAAGCAGTTGTTTTACGTTGATAAATATTTACAATATACAACAACAACACATGTAATAATTTTTTACAGTTTCCTTTGGCAAATTTCACCATTTAAATCATCTGGAATGTAATTTTGTTTCCACTGGATATGCTATATATATTTATATTCCATTTTGAAGCTTAAATTTAACAAAACAGTAAAACATTAACATTTTCAACAAATTTACATGTAACGGAAGTTACGTCACGGATGTTAAGCATTAAGACCCATCATTTATTTCTAAGAAAACGATAATTTTCTTTCACATAACTCTTCAATTAAGTCCGTGATTTCATTTCCAAGTTTGTAAAGTCGTTTTCTTGACCCCGACGAATGTGGTTCTGGTACTTTCATTAAAATATCTCCAGCAGGGATCCACGCTATGTCTGCTTTTGATGGCCACCGAAAACTGATTTCCCTTGTCCCCACCTCTTCCATAAAATTAATCTTAAATTGATCAGCTGATGCATTGCTCTCACTAACCAGACCAATATACCATTCTTGTTCAAAAACTGCAGCACAAAAATCACCTTCTTCAACATGAACACATTTCTTTTCAGTTTCATTTATTTTGGCATCTGTATTACCAATATCTTTACTTGTACTTTCACCTGTCGAGACATTTGACTCTAATGCCTTTCGGATGCCTTTGACTTTCAGTCCAGTTTTACTATTTGTTTTTGACAATTCATGAACCGTCCAACCGCCGCATTCAGACGTAATTACATCGGATTTACAGTTGTTACAAGAGCATGACAAGTCGCGGCTCGCTATTGATGTATGGCCAATAGGAACAACAGCATGCAGCTTAAAAGTCCCTTTTACTGCTTTGATGTTTTCATTTCTATTTTTCAGGTCATCGGCTGTTGCTTCGTACAATTCTTGAGATACATAATAATATGTCACAGATGTTTCAGTATCAGACTGCTTTCTTGCCCAAGAATAGAAATCATGTGCATTCTGAATAATAACCTTGCCTTGCTTTACAGCCATGTCTGCGGAACGTTTAACACTTCCTCCAAGCCCATCACAAGGGCCTTTCCCGTGGCCACTTTCGAGGTAATCCCAGCATCCCCTGACTCCAAAAAGTGCTTCATGTCTTGTTAAGAACTCAAATATACTCTTATTACGATATTGAGAGGTTGGAGAATCCGTAAGATAGTGTATGTACTTCAAGTCTGGGTATTCGGATTTGATTATTGGAATCAAAGTTGACACCATAGAAACAACCATTGCTGCATTGTGTATATTAAGATCTGATATGCCTACGACACTTTTATGTGTTTTATTATGTGTCTTTGGAAAATACGCAACGCTGGTGTGTAAAGTCACTTGTTCGCTTGTCCAATAAGCTGATTGGACTTCATCAAGTGCTGAGCATGTAAAGTTTTCAGCAAAGTCCATCCATATAAGAACATGGCCATCTTCTAGATTTTCACGGAGATGCCGCATTTGACTATACTGATTCTTTACTCGGTGAACATGAGCCCGGAATTCTTTCACATCCTTTGTAAAAATTTCAACAAACTCCGCCTTCGTAATATAAGTCTGGACCTGCTTCCATTTCATTTTTCCAGATTCGTCAACTCGTTTCCACTCTGTATATGTGACGTGGGATTTCTGTATTTGTCCAAGTTTTTCTTGTATATCACCATCGGTGTTATTTTGAATAAAATTGTCAGGATTCTTAGTTCCTGCTATATCTTGAATTGCCTTGATTTTTAATGCAATATTCTGATGCCGCGAACACAAACACGTATTTCTGCAACAAAAGTTCACCAATAAGACGTGTTTTGGTCTCATATTACTAAAGGTTGATCTTGAAATCTTGATTTGTGGATTTTCTAATATAAATTTAGCGTGAAGATTGTGCAAGTAGTCCGTCAATATTCGCTTTTGGTGCTTCTGCTTCTGATCTCTTTTTCCTGGCATAGTGATACAATTATCCTCACGTTGAAAAAAATCATGAACTTTTGTTTTAACAACCTGACTTCTACCTGAATTTTTCTTTTTGTAACTTGCATTCATTCGCTTTCTACTAATACCAAGCATTTTCCCAAATGCCCGCACACATCTATACTTCTTTGCAATTTTAAGTTTACAGTTCTTCAAAGCATTTGTTTCCTTGATTTCTGCGTTTAATACATGAAACTGTAGAAGTTTTTTCTTTAGTTGTGTGTGTTTTTTAGGGGTTAATCCCGAATCTCTTAAATCAATATTTGCCTTTGTGTTTGGTGTTAGCATGTCAGTTGTGTCATCGAATGGGGTATTTTTCCTCGGTGTTTCACTTGTATTAGGCCTTTGAATGTCATTTGTATCATTTGAACAATTTAGCCTTTCAGCATTACTTGACATCACTTGGCTGATTTCACTTGCAGCTATTTGCAGGTCTGTGTTGCATGTGTTCTGTCTTAATTCCGGTGTTTTGTTTTTAGTTTGCCGTGCTCTCTCTAACCGTTTCTGTATTCTTTTTTTCTCTTTCTTTAGTTGTGCATTCATTAATTCAAGGTCTTTGATCTGCTTTTCAGCTTTTCCTAATTCGTTACACAGCATACTTTTTCCAGTTCTAGAGCATCTGTTTTGCTTGAAATCGAGTTTTATTGTCAGACAACCATTATTGTTATTTCTTGTTTGCACTGTTTCTGTGTTTAAAATTGCATTTCTATCATTTTGTTTCTTTTCATAGTGTTTCTTTACTCTTTTCAGCGTTTCTTTACGTCGTTTTTTTACTTCTGTCTCACTTAGAAGAGCTACTGGTATATATGCTTTTCGTTTTCTCTCCCTTTCTTTCTTGGCATAGCTTCCAGATTCTTTTTTCTTTTTCTCCCTGTACTTTTTCTGGATTTCTGCCCTTGACAAAGGCATCCTGAAATATATAATAATAGAGGCTTAGTAAATTATGAAAATATCCAGCTCAATTTAATTGATACAAGGTTATAAACAATAATGTTATAAATTAACTTCCGTTACATTTTGCGTTATTATTTTGTGTTTAAAACCCATCAATTGCTATAATCTTATACTGAAATGAAATACTAAGCAAATATTTCAGAGCTTAATGTACATTTAAAATGATAAACTGAACTCAGAAAGAAGTATTATCATTCAATATGACCATGGTTTGTTTTTGTTTTAACTTCCGTTACATGCAGATATCATCAAGGTCCAAAGATGATTCCTCGTCACGTATACAGGTTTTCAATGAATTTGTATGGGTATAAACAAACATCGTACAGTAAAATGTATATATATTTAAAAAACTAAGCACAATATACTTCTTAAAATCAAATATTATCAATTGTACGTTTTTGATTAACTTCCGTTACATGTTTGTTTACCAATAATGTTTTTGTTTTTAAAGGCTAAATAATCATCAACGGGCTGATTTAGAATATAATTTTGTTGTACAATGTGTATTACGAAACATCATAATAATACAACAATAATATTTATCAATACAAACAAGATATAGAGTATAAATAATAAATGTTTACTGACCTTCAGACAAATCTGCCGAGTCGCTGAAAAACGATAACCTTTCAATGTCAAACCGCATTTACTACGACGTCATAATTTTGTTTGTGACGTAAGCAATGTACACGCAGTCAATTTGTAATGCTATCGGCTTAATTGCACAGTACAAATTATCGATTTTATAACGGAAGTTAATAATCACGGAAGTTAAAAAACAGAACAATTACCGTGCTTTTTCTTAAAAAAAACAAAGTGAAATAAAACAAGTATGTGTTTTTGTGAAGAAGGCAAGCTATCCGTTATTTAAACTTAGAATATCAACCGGTATGTATGATAAGTAAGAATTTTTTTTGTTGTCACGGCAGTTAATTGACTTTTCAACTGTTTTCACTCTCGCCTAAAAATAACGAAATGATATTCAATATATATTGATTATCATGTTTTTACCCGTTTTATATGTTTGATTGGTAGTTTAACGCAAAATTAAAGGTCTTATTTCGTCTATACGCGAATTAGCGCATATGCTCTAGACATCTTCTTTTTTGATAACGGAAGTTAAGAGCATTTTGGCGACATTACAAACTCGCTTTACACAAAGAGAATGGTGTGAATAATTTTATTTAATGTGATGAAAAATCAAGAAGGACTCTTCAGCCAAAGTTTAAAATATTTCTTTTTTGTTGAAAGCAATTTAATTATTCTTAAACTATTCTGTTGAGATGTAACCCATTCAAGCGACATGGGAAAATGTATAAATAGATGTACTATGTAGCTCTATTATTGACTTATTTCATCTGAACTGTTCAATAAAAATGATCTGCAATTTTGAGTAATAGGCCAAAGTTTGTATCAAACAAATTAAAGTTGCATTTTCGTGCATTTTTGTTGAAATCACACATAAAGACACACAGACGTACAAATGGCGCGTAATTTTCTGGAATGGCTGACTTGTATTTTAGCTGAAAGCTTCTTAAAGACGCAGTATGACATATATCCAATTCCCATAGTTTCTTTTAATCTCAGCGATGCGGCTTTATATTTTTTCTTTGGCAAATTTGGGAATTTTCATTTCAGGTAATGTGTATACTCGGTGAGACACTAGAACCTTTCGATGAAGACGGTATAATTCCTGTTTTTGGTTTTGGAGACAAAAAATGCCGGGACAAATATGTATTTGAACTAAAACCAGGTGTTAGTATTTTCAAACCAAATAGTTTCGACAAAATAGAACTATCTAAATGTTTAATAATCTATGAATTATACACGTTTAAAAATAATCGTCAAAAACTACTTTAAACGTACTGAGAAATAATCTGGCGTGTACCTTAAATTGCCTTTATTGGTTTAAATTATATATATGCACTGCGTATATAAACAATCAAAGGGGAATAACTCTCCTTGGGATTGCTGTTTAACATTGTTACAATGCCCTCCCTTTAATATGTCGTAAATGTAGAAAATAGTAAACAAAGTAGCATTTTGAATTCCATATGAAATACTTATTCACCACAATTACACCAATTGTCAACATAGAAATATGAGCAGAGATAAATCATCTTTATGACAAATGAGTATTTTTTGAAAACTGTTACAAGATATTAAATATTTAAAGTTTTTGTGAAAGAAAAATGATAGCATTTCTGAGGCATAGTGGGCCTTTAATCACAGCGTATAGAGAAGAAATATCCACTTTGTTGTTAAGTAAGATGATATAGAATACAAAGAGGATATTCAAGTTTTTTTCTCTCTATAAATACAGGATTTATTGTCATCGAGTGGTATGAAAATGAATATTTCATGAGTGGCGGTAGCTACAGGTGAATATGATAATTTCACACCACAAGACAATTAATCCCATATTATAGAATTTTTTTTGAGTTTTCTGTTTATACTTTTATATTAAATACTTTTTTCTTTATTGACCTTAATATCTGAAATACTCCCCTTTAATTTTGTCTATTGTCTGAATTTAGAGGCAAGACACCAATGAAAATACGGAAAATATGTTTCACTGAAATAAAAAATATTTTTACAGTTAAAATACGGAAAATGAAAATACAAGTACGCATTTTATTTCATCAATATTTTTCAATATTTAATTTATCAGTATATATTTAAACAAATAACAGACCAAGTGTGAAGGATTTAGCGATGTGTTAGATGTATACAATGAAGTTACACCTACAATTAAACTTGGCGGACCAACCAATTTTGCACCATTGATTGAGAAAGCTATTGAGATCGTTAGAGAGACAAATGAAGTAAGACCTTGATCTTTGCTTAATAAAAGTTGTGTGAACGAAAACCTTTATTTTCGGTTCTTTCCATCAAACTGAAGCAAAGGATATTACAGATGCAAAATCTAAATTAGTATATGCATATCAAGATTGTCATTCGCTACAGAATTACAAGAAACTATTTATTTGTTTTGTTAAAAGGCTTTTTATAGTATTTATGTTCATCAATCTTTATTTTACCGACATTCACATTACTTTTTTTCGTATGTCCAATAAAAGTCTATAATACCGTCTTTGCCATTTGAAGCTGATTAAAGCTGCTTCAAAGTCACGTGATAATACTGCTTCCCTCTCAGTTGATTGTGAGAATTTGATATTTGAATGATTGCACCAACGCAGTGTTTCGTTCAAGACATATTTAGTTCTGGTTCATTTTTTTTAATTGAAATAAAGTCCGTCTTTTGTTTATAAATTAATTATGTTTTTAATTATGGATTATGAGCATGTAAGATGCTTAACAGTTGAAAAAAGTAGCGCTGTAGTGTGTCGTAAAGGTGGCAAAATGTAAACAAAGTGATATTTTGACTTCCATATATTGAAATTTCGTTTATATTTATTTATTGGTATTTATCGTACGATTTCCTTTATCTTTTCAGTATCACATACTTGTAATTGTTGCCGACGGTCAGGTTTCCAGTGAAGAAGCGACAAAGAAAGCTTTAATAGAAGCATCGCATTATCCCATCTCTATAGTAGTTGTTGGTGTCGGCGATGGTCCTTGGGGATCAATGAAAACTTTTGACGATGGACTTACTGAAAGAAAGTTTGATAATTTCCAGTTTGTAAATTTTCACGAAGTAATGAACAAAGCAGAAAATCCAGAAGCTGCCTTCGCACTTAATGCATTGATGGAAATACCAGAACAATATAAGTACTTAAAACAGGCAGGCCTTATACAATAATCAAAGATGATTGTTGATCCTTTTCTTCATTTTGATGTATTAACCCGTAATCTGCTTAATTTTTATAATGAATTTGTCCAGCTTTAAATTTGGAACAATTCATTCAAAGAATAAGGGAATTAGATATCAAAATAGAAAAACTGAGCAACCAAAAGTATAGAACCCGGTCAAATTGCATGGATGTACAGACTGACCTTGCTCAATACTTGTGGTCAAGGCTAGTCACTTCCGGCAAAAGCAGGCTAAGGGTTAATGAAGCTGTTGTAAATATTATATAGTATATCAATAACAAAATAGAAACTTTATTTTTTTCTGCTTTAGTGCAGATTTAATTTTGTATTATGTAATTACATTCAGAAGGTCATTATGCCTCTCCCTTTTATAAGAGGTGTTAATACAGACAAATTATTTTTCAAAAATACAATCCATGAGCCTTGATACTGTAAATGGCATAAGTATTGATGCTGTTAATGGCACTAGCATTGGTGCTGTAAATGGCATAAGCCTTGATGCTATTCATTTATATGTGTTGTTGCTGTAAATTGTATGAAATTGATGCTGTAAATGGGTTATATCTTTAGGGATACACAACATTATTCGTGTACTTTAAGAAAGTTTGAAAAGTATAGGTTTTATATACACTAGACTAGTGTCTTAGTTTATAACTATTCATATTGAAAACTACACATATAAAATTTCTACGAAACAACAGAAGGTGGACAGTTACAGAGAAAGTATTTTTGTAATGTAATTTCTCCATAATTGATACAGGATGTTTAGATATGTGTATTCATTATTTATAAGTAAATTAAATAAACCAGAGCATATATTGCCTGATTGTTGTGTTTTTTTTCTCTCCACAATCAAGTTTTCACTTTTTAAACTCGGTTTTCCAACTAAGTAAAATAATTTAAAATGGTCAGTTGTTAGAGAAATTTTTATATAATGAACCTTTCATTTACCTTTTTGAGTATTTCTTTCTGCGTTTATAAAATCGTAACATGAAAGAGGTAATTGAGAGAATCCCAGTCTTTATACATTGACAGGAATTTAATACAAATTTTGAAAAAACAAAACAAAAAAAAAAACATTTTGTATCAGTTCTTTATGGTTTGAAATTTTGAAATTGCATTGTATTTCAGGAAACTTTTCACCAATCCCTTCTTTGAAATTTACAATATTTCATTAAATTTTGTAGATTATAATTACGATAACTACGAATTTCATCCTTTATCATATTTTTCATATTGGTTGAAAATATAAGGAAAATTCAATGATCGTACCGAAAAAATCACAACGGATGCATCATAGCAAAAAAATAAAAACGGCCTTACTGCTGATAAACAATAAACATTTCATATGTATTCACCACAGCAGCTCTGTCACTAATAAAAGGTATTGTATAATTAGTATAAGTAATAGTTCACAGTGTAATGGAAACCCGTTTAGTATCGGAAAATTTTGTTTGTTTGTTTGTTTTGGGTTTTACGTCACATCGACACAGTATAGGTCATATCGCGACGTTCCAGCTTTACTGGTGGAGGAAGACCTCAGGTGCCCTTCCGTGCATTATTTCAGGCACGAACGGGCACCTGAGTAGAACCACCGACGTTCCGTAAGCTAGCTGGATAGCTTCCTCACATGAAAGAATCCAAAGTCCCTGTCGGGATTCGAACCAACAGCGGTGAGGGGCAAGTGGTTTGAAGTCAGCGACCTTAATCACTCGGCCACGGACGCCCCTGTATCGGAAAATAAACGATTAGTAATATTTATCAAAGTTCACTGAAGGGACAAAGAAAAGATGAGATCATGGACATCTCAAGCTATACAGTTTGTCCCTTGAGTTTTTGGCAATAATTAATTAATATGGATTGAGTATAATGTGGAATGCTTATTATTGAAGCAGTATAGGATCACACGTGGCTCAGATCACATTTGTCACACCGGTGTGTGACAGTTGTACTCGTGTGTTTACACGAATTCACCAAAGTTTTACAATCACTTGCTACCATAGGAAAATATGAATTCATACCAATCATGGTTTTCAAAAGGGAGGTAATAGATTTTTTTGCAACTTATAGTTTCATTTTGATTGGTGTTTGGTGCTGGGATGTTATTGCGCATGCGTCAAAATGGTAGCACTTTTTTGAAAACGGTTAAAAAATTTGTGAAAAAATGGATTTAAAGTTGTTTTTCTAGTGATTTTGGATTTGATTTATAGTTGAAAATGGATATGATTAAGTAAAGTTTATATAGTATGGGAAATAAAAAACGGAAGAATAGAAATAGCAGTGGATATGACGTTGAAGAAATCAACAATAGAAAGGTATCTAAACAAAGAGGCCCGTCTGGTGATTTAGACATAAATATTTCTGTGAGCGACATACTTAACCAGACTAATTCCGTTCTATATGATGATGATGATAATAGTGTATTTGACATAAATTCAAAAGCAAAAGTTTCCGAGAAAATGGCGTCAAATGAAAAAGAACCAACAAACAAGGATATTATGAAATGTTTAAATGGAATAAGTGACAGATTATGTGCAGTGGAGAAAAAACTTAGTGCTTTTGACCAGATTGAGAAACAAATTTCTAGTTTTGAAAAAGAGCTTAAGTCAATATGGGTGGCTATTGATGATAGGGCAAAGAAGGTAGAAGAGCGAGTGGCCAAAATGGAGGATAACATTGAAAGCACAGACATAAGTTCAGCCATATTAGCGGGTAAAGTAGATGAACTTGAAAAGGCTCGGGACAGTATGAGAGAGGAGGTGTCTTATCTTAAATCTCAATCAATGAGGAATAACCTCATTTTCACTAATGTACCGGAAGACAACTCCAGTGGTAACAAAACGACGGAAATAACCGAGCGTAAACTACGGAAACACCTCCAGGACGCCTTGAAGGTTGCCAAGGAGACTATAGTTGCCAAATTTACTTTTTTCAAAGACCGCGAGCTTATTAGAAGACAGTGGAAAAATTTGAATGACACACCTTATAAAATGTATGAACAATTTCCACAGGAAGTGATCGAAAAGCGTAGGAGACTAGTGCCAAGAATGAAGGCCGCCAGGGAGAAGGGGCAAAGGTCATGGATTGCTTATGATACGCTGTTCATCGACGGTAAGCCTGTCCGGGAGTAGGGGTGCGCCGGAGGTGAGCTAGCTATCTTGTCATGGAACGTGCATGGGTTAACATCTGACAAAAAAGCTCATAAAGACTTTGTAGATATTATTTCAAGTCACGATATATGTTTTTTATATGAATCTTGGACAAATTCTAGTAGTAATGTTTCTTTGAATGGGTATATTTCATTCAATTTCTATAGAAAATTTCAAAATAGGGGTGCGCGAAGATGCAGTGGTGGGGTTATTTTGTATTTTAAAGAGCATTTAAAAGAAGGTATACAATTAATAAAAAATCACCATGATACAATCATTTGGCTTAAACTTGATCGTAATTTTTTCAATACTAAAGAAGATATTTATGTGTGTGGTGTATATATATGGGGTGCAGACTCACCTGCGTACAATACTTTAAATGTTGATTTGTTTGATTTATTAGAAAATGATATATTTTTATACGACAATTTAGGGGCTGTGTACATTCTTGGAGATTTCAATAGTAGAGTAGGAAATAAGCATGACTTTATTATACATGCTACTTTGAATAATGTTTTTGATGATATAGATTATGACCCCGATAATAGTTCATGCAGGGCCTCAATAGACTGTAAACATAACAGCCATGGTATAAGATTATTAGATCTTTGTAAATCATCATGTTCACGAATAGTTAACGGTCGTATCGGGGACACATATCATCATACCTTTATTTCACATAACGGGGCATCTGTTATAGACTATTTATTATGAAATGAACGCATTTTTCACTGATCAATAATTTTAGAATATAATTGTCATTCAATGAATGGAGCGATCATGCTCCCTTACAATTGAAAATATCATGCAACAATACACCTGATAAAGATATTATATTTACAGAAATGAAATACAAATGGAATGATGTATATAAACAACAGTTTAGATCAGGAGTCATTGCTAATTTACCATTATTTAATAATATTGTTAATGATTTAGACAATAACAGTCGACAGTCTGTCAATAATGCACTTAATAGTTTTACAGATGTATTGCGAAATGTTAGTGACCCATTATTTTCAAAAACATGTCAGTTTAAAAATGTTCATTGTTTTGAAGAAGAAAGTTGTATTAAGCATGCTGATTGGTTTGATGTAGAATGTAGGAATGCACGTAATAAGTATTTAGAATCTTTAAGGTTGTTTAATATCTCAAAGACAGATTATTTTAGAATAAGATTGTGTGAAAATAAGTCATTTTTATAAAAGTATTGTTAGAAAAAAGAAAAGCTTACATTACAGAAAGAAAATGTCTGAGATAGAAAATTTAAAGAAAGGTAAACCTAGAGATTTTTGGAAATATTTTAAAAAGAAATCGAACAATTTTGGAAAAAATATTACAATTGAACAATTTAAAGAATATTTTTCTAATATAAGTAACGACTTATTTGCTTGTTGCAATGAGGAGGCTAATCAGTTTTGTCATAATAATGATTTTATGAAGTCAAATGATATTTTTCCAGAATTAGACCAACCAATTACAGTTTGTGAAATTTTAACTGCTGTAAAATCACTAAAGCGTAACAAAGCGTATGGTAGCGACTGCTTATTAAACGAGTATTTTATTGAAAGTATAGATATTTTATCGGCTCATATTTGTGATTTATTTAATGGTATTTTAGATTCGGGTTATTTCCCCGAGAAATGGACAGAGGGTATTATAATCCCTTTGCATAAAAAAGGTTGTCACGATGACGTAAATAATTACAGAGGTATTACTCTTGTTAGTTGTATGTCAAAATTGTTTACTACTGTTATTAATAATCGAATTGAGAAATTTTGTAACGAACATAACACTATTTCGGATGCTCAATTCGGATTCCGTAAAGGAAGGTCTACTGTAGATGCTATGTTTGTACTTATGTCATTAGTTGAAAAATATTTAAATGAAAATAAAAGATTATATGTTATATTTGTTGATATGATGAAGTGTTTTGATTCCATTGATAGAAATGGTTTATGGTTAAAAATGTATAATTTTGGAATACAGGGTAAATTATTGAGAATTGTTCGTGATATGTACCAGAAAATTAAGTCTTGTGTTAAACTTTGTTCAAGTTATTCTGAATATTTCCAATATGCTGTTGGTTTTCGTCAAGGGGAGGTAATGTCCCCTCTACTATTTTCAATTTTTGTAGAAGACATCGAATTGTATCTTCAAAACAATCCCGACTCAGGTTTAATACTAGATGATATTGTTTTAATACTTTTACTTTTTGCAGATGATATGGCAATTATAGGCAAAAGCC